TATTCTACTGGCTTTCTACGAGTATTTATTGATGAGAAGCTATTCTACTAGTATTCTACGACTATTTATTATTCTTTCTTCTATTCCTGGTATTCTTCTGACCTTCTGTCGTACGAGGATTGAAAAGGTGAGTAGTTTTGGCCCTTAGTTTGTCTTTTGTGCTGTGATTGCCGTATTTTTGAGTATTTCTGTCGCGATTGTTTTATTCTACTAGTATTCTACGACTATTTATTATTCTTTTTTCTATTCCTGATAAATAAATACAAACGATAGTATTAAAGCAAAGTATTAAGATATAAGGGGGGACAAGTCAAAGAATTAGTTCAACTTCCGTTTCGCACGTGCCCTAGACGGAAGTCAAACTCAAGATATATTCTCCCTCCGTGCTCGTCGATAGGGTAAGGGAGAATGAGAACTATGAATGTTTTATAATATATTATAGCAAATAGATAAATAAACAATAAGACAGGACTTAACAAATGCATTAGAGTTACTGAAATATGGGCATAAACTGAAAAACCTAATACGGAAGAAACCATGATAACAAACTAAAGTTAAGCAATAATAGCAAAGTGGAATGTACAACAGATAAACTAAGTGAGTGGAGAGAACACCTTAAGTTATAGATATATTAATAAAGATGATTAAGAGAGAAAGATGATAAATACTTAAAAAATTGCGCTCCTATACCACATATATGCACCATTGCGAGAACGCAATTAAATCTCGCCACCGGCTGCCGTTTGAATTACTTTCCTGCGCGCTAATATTCGAATGGACTTTCGTGGACTGTCATTAGAGCACATTACACCACTACGATGCGAGTGCAAAAATGTATATTGCTGTTTATGCGACTTTCTGCGCTATTTTCCGAGTAAGGAGGAGTTGGGTCGGTGGTTAGTCTACCTCTTCGTTACGAGCTCTAATGAAAAGGGCATATAATAAAGGTGAGAAGGGTCTTTTCACTGCATGTATCACCAATTCTCACTAGGGGNTATCCTTTGTTTTCCAATGTCTGTCTGCCTTCGAAATGTCCTTCCTAACTCCAAGTTGGAGGTTTTCTCGCAATGAAGTAATTGGTTCAGCTTACACTCTGGGAGATCCTTCAGTTCTTCTACCATCGTAAGTAGGTGGCAACATTAAAGGTCATATATCTACCGCAATAGTTTTGATCGTTTTGTATAAAAATATTCATGTGAATTTCAATGACAAAAGATTAGTTGCATTGGGATCACAGGTCCATCAAGTGCTCGGCTCTCCACGAAGGTGCAAATAGTACTTAGAGGTTGATTATCCGGAGTATTCGGGGAATTTGGTTCAGAAAGGAACCCTATTTGTTGCAGCCTCCAAGACTAACTCAATAGGGAAAACATAAATGGGGATTTTGCAGGAAAAACGAGATCCATTTAGTCTACCAAATTCTCCTTTGCTCGGAATACGAGGAAGACAGAAATAACCCAAGTGATGTTATACCTGATTGTGTTCTAATATGCACTTGTGAAAAACTCACGTAACATAATCACGTGCTAGTTCTGGAGAAAGATGCCTACCTTGACACACGGCATTGTAGGAAATCGAATTTCAGATCATTATGCCCCACTACAATCACTTCAATACTCCCGAAGTCGATCAAGTGGTCGTGTGGGGCCTGTCGAGGGGAACAACACACTTGTTTCTTGTATCGGTTGGACACTTTGCAAGCCATTCTACCAAGTGTGGTGTACGGGGCGCCGACTTCAAGACTGTCACGTGGTCTCTAATTCAAACACTCGCGCGCGGGAAAGTGATTCAAATGGCAGCCGGTGGCGAGATTTAATCGTGTTCCATTGCGCGCTATAATTAACACCGGCTTCGTAGACCGCTCCTACCGCGGCGCGCCTGACGGAATTAAATGAGCTAGTTGTTCTTCACTATTTATGTTTATTTTTGTATTATTCTTTTACCATTTTAGCTGTTTATTAGTAGTTAGGCTTGAGTACAAGATAGTTAAGCTATGCACAACTGCATGAAGCCATTTAACCGTGATAATAGTGAAAAAGCACTCATAACCATTTTGTTACCCAATGGCTATTTTAACTCATCATCTTAACATCGTTCAATCGTTGGCAATGGTAACGAAATATTTGTTAAACCATGAATCTATTATACTTATTACAGATGAGTGATATGCGGAACGACGCCCTTCAGGAGCCCGTGAATAGGGTGAGTACTTGAACTCAATTTGGTGTATTCTTGTACATATGCATTTTTATTTACTTTTTTGGCGTTATCACTATACTGTATTGTGCTATTCAAGTAGTACTTGTTAGTGACAGTTTATTCTACATTGGTATTCTTGTACTGTGCATACTTAATGGTTACTAATTGCTAACACCTTTTAATTTCTTATGCCTTATGAAGGAGTGCATTGATTTGTTACAAAGTGGCAGAGCCCGTAATTAACCAGCCCAACAAAGGTAAGTAGGTAGGTAATGAAGACATTGTCAAGTGTTAACGGAATTAAAAGGGAATTATAAAAAGGGAAGGTACTAGGCTATAAAGAGTAATATAATAAATAACAGAATATGGATATTATAATGCAGATTATTAGTATGTACTATTACTTATAGTATCATAATATGTGTCTAAAATTCTGATAAACGGTTTATAGCTTAATTGATACTTATGGAGTATGAACTTATTTTTAGCTATACATTTTATAAGGCCCATAATGAAAACATCTTTATTGTAACCCATTTGGCTTGCTTGAAATCCCATATACTTGAGCCTATCCAAGAAGTCTTCCTTATAAGTACATGTCCTAGCGGTTCTCAATATTTCTGAGTACATAGTGCTAATTTTGATGCTCTTAGAAACATTTGTAGTGTAGTATGGAAAACGTTTAACCGGGAATCCAAAACTATCTGTCTTATTATACATTCTGGTACAAATTTGTCCTTGTTCTATAAATATTTGTAAGTCCAAGTAATTACACCTGTATTCACTTTCATGGGTTATATCCAAGGCAAGAGTGTTATTATAAACATGCCCTAGCTCTTGTAAAATTGTGTCAGTGTCTGTATTATGGATAATAAGCAAATCATCCATATATCTAAATGGTATTAGCTTGGGGTTTAATATATTAAGCCTTTGTAGCGAATATTCATATTCAAATAAAGACAAAGTAAGGTCCGCGAGTAACGGACTGGCATTACTGCCTTGTGGAACACCCACTTTTTGTATAAATAAATATTCCGCAAATCTGCAGTAGCTGTTAGAGAGTAAGTAATCTATAGTATAAAGAATATCTTCTATAGTGTAATATTTATATCTGGTATAAGACTTATTATCCGTATAGAAGGTGTTGTAACCATTACTAGCTATATACTTCTTACTACTATTCTTATAACAGAGCGTTAAAATTTTCTTGATATTTTTCATTACTACATTATGTGGAAGGTTAGTAAACATATTGCTAAAGTCCGCTGAAAATAATTTTATATTATCCATTTTAATATTCTGAATTTGTTCGCCTATATTTATATTATTTATAGACCAGTACCCTAAAAAATTACTGTTTCTACTTTTAATTGTATTATTATATTTATAGAAATGTTGCTTGATAAATGTCAGTACCTTACTAATGAAAATGGCTAAGGACTTAATGCTGCTATTACTGGCACCAGTAATAAATCTAAACTTAGTAGGTATTTTATGTAGTTTGGGAATCGCATAAATCATAGGTATAGTGGTTGAACCCAGATCCTGTAGTTCATTATTACGTATGAAATCTTTGATAATTATTGATATTCTTCTGACCTCCTGTCGTACGAGGATTGAAAAGGTGAGTAGTTTTGGCTCTTAGTTTGTCTTTTGTGCTGTGATTGGCGTATTTTTTAATATTTCGGCTGTGATTGTTTTATTCTACTAGTATTCTACGACGCGCAGTCTATTGGCGTCCGCGACGGAAAGAAGGGAATATCTTTGTCAACAGCACGTTGTTCAGACGGTAGGTGTAAGAAAATACACACGCACACAAACAAAAGTATAAAACATATAAGTGAACAGGCTCAGTTTCTCCTTGCTGTAATGGCACTGGTGGGAAGCTCAGTTCGCCACTTTGAAGATCCAGCCGCGCGCGGACGTACAGCCTATGTGGTAGATGGCGACATCCCACAAGGCTTACTGTTGGCTCTGAATAGACTGGCGGAAGTAAGAACATAATTTATGAATTTACGAGTTCTGCATGAATAATTGACTACAATCAGGGTGCGGTAGTGCTCACTGCTCGTCAAGTGAGCTTTTTCCTAAACGACGCTCTGAAGCGTTTTTACGCAACGGATATGTGGCCGGTAACGGAAGAGGTGGTGAAATTATAGGTGAAAAGGTGCAAGTGCAATATTATTCATCGTACTATATAGGTTGGAGTCGGGGGAAGTGAAGATCTCAGTGAGGATGTCGCAGGGGAGGCAGCGCCCGTTGTGGAAGAGTCGTCTATGAGTCCTACGCCTAGTGAATGCTCGGATTACGAAGCGGCCTGTGATTCCGGGGAGGTAAAAATAATTCCGACTAAGAGAAACATTTATGACGACCACACACTGTGAAGATAAACATTTTCAGAGCTCAGATGATGACTACATCCCCNATGACGAGTCGGTATGTGGCCCAGCAACTACGTCTTCTCTGACTGAGACTGGCGCAGACTTGCTGGGTCAGTACTTTCTCGTCAAAGGCGAAAAGCTCTTGGAGTTATTCCAGTTCTGCCCTCGTTGCGGACACAGGCTTCCGGGAGGAGTACGCTTGAGGACCGTTGGCACGGCGGTCGTCAATTTCATCTGCATGGAGTGTAGTGCGGCAGCAAACAAACGATGGGAGAGCCAAGACCGAACCGTTCCCCATCGAAGTGAACGTGTCTATAAGGGAAACGTGGAGGCAGCGGTGTCGGCCATCACCACCGGCTTGCGATACCCGGTTAGTAAGTATGTACGGTGACGGAAAATACAGAAGGGTTGTTTGTTTACTTGTTCAGGAATTGGCGAGATGGGCGAAGCAGATGAAGTTGGCGATTTTTTCGAAGACCTTTTTCTGGAAGGTTTTTGTTTGGGCCAAGCCGGCCATAGAGAAAGTGTATCTCTCGCAGAAAGCCTTGTTTTGGACCTCGTGAAGAGCGCCTACAAGGTAGAATAATTGAGATTTGAGTTTATACTAGGTCGTAAAGAAAGTTCTTGCTTTCTTACGCCTCAAACTTCAAATGAGATTTTAGCAGGGTGAGGGTCTGCACCTTGCCGCAGACGGAGCCTACGATAGCCGAGGATACTCGGCTTTGATCGGGAAAGTTGTGCTGGCGGAGGAGCGTACTAAGCCTGTGCTACATACTGAGGTGTTGCACCGATCGGAGACGGGTACGACGTTTGATGAATTGATTACAAGCAAGGATTTTCAGTGTTATAAGATCTTGCAGAAGGCGTTAGTACGCGCATGGAAGTTGAAGGATTGCGGCGACTTATGCGGTGGGTGCAGGCTCAAGGCTTGCAAATCGGGTCAGTAACAACAGACCGAAGTAGAGCGGCGCTGCGAGAGATGGAGCCGGAGATAGGAGCGACTCCTCACTACTACGACGGGTGGCATCTAGCAAAGTGGCTAGGAAATGAATTGAGGAAGGTATGTAAATTTTCTCTTAATAAAACCTGTTGGGTTTCATAGGATCCTTCACTTCATAGGTCTCCAAATTAGATGGATGTGACGAAATCGGCGCGTGGATCGAGAAGTTGAAGAAAGCGTCTTGAGAAAAATTACGAACTGGGAAAGTTTTCACAATGCTGGAATAAAAGGTGCTGGTTCTAATGTTTCAATAATAGAAATTTTGTTTTTGTACACAGCTGAAATGTGAAATGCGAAATGAAGCTGAGAATTCTACAAAGCTGTGGACCGCGACTTTACTGTTTTTTTATTTGCATAACTCAACACTCTTGGCCAGTGATAATGTTCTTCGAACCTCTCTTTGGCATGGACATCGTCATCCATGGCCTCTTTCGACCGGATGAGTTATATCAATCCATCTTGCATAAGTTGGCATACCCCTGAACCAGGGTTCAACACTCTACCAGTGAAGGTAATTACTCAGCAGTTGTCTCATAAGAAATAGAAACCAAGAAGCATGCAACAGAAGTAAAAACACAGAAGAAACACATAAACAAACAGTGTTCATTCATTCACTAGAGTAGGGTAGCTACCCATAAGTGGTCTTGGAAGAAACATGAACGAGGAAACATGCAGGGAAAGAGACATACGTTACCAAACTATAGTTTAACCACCCATTGATCGTAGAAAGGTACTTCTTAAAATCAGTAATCACCTTAGAGTAACGTGCTCGAGCGCCCTACGCAACGCCAATAAGCAGAGTTACGGAAGAGGAAATCAACTGTCGTCAGGAGCGCTATAGCGCGAACCCGCGAAGCAACCGCTCACACGTAGGGCTTGTCTGATTATGTTGTTTAATTTCTTCTGGGAGAGGGGGGGGGGATGGATGGCATGCTAACGATGTT